AAAATAAAAATATTAAAAAGGTAAGCAAAATATGTTACGTATATAATTTATGTATATGTTTATTAAATAAATAAATTATACACATTCCATTATTTATTAATGGATTATCCAATAATATTTAAGTTACCATAATATTATAAAGTAACTTAAAACATAACACGTATCAAATCTATGTATATTTTTATTATTTAAATAAACATATACATCAGATTAAATATTACTACCCAAATTACCATAAAAGTAATTAATAAATTACTTTCTCTTTTATATATATATTAAAAAGGTAAGTAAAATATGTTACGTATATAATTTATGTATATGTTTATTAAATAAATAAATTATACACATTCCATTATTTATTAATGGATTATCCAATAATACTTAAGTTACCATAATATTATAAAGTAACTTAAAACATAACACGTATCAAATCTATGTATATTTTTGTTATTTAAATATAAAATATATAATTAAATATTACTACCCAAGTTACCATAAAAATAATTAATAAATTACTTTCCTTTTTATATATGTATATAATATATATCTATATATACACATACATTATCCATGGGTAATAATTCATACACATCCAACCTCCTATCCAAGTAGTCCATGGGACCCAATTGGTTGGCCCATTACTACTAACCATAACCATAAAAGAAAAATAAAATAAAATAATAAAAGAAAAGAAAATATTTAATTTACAATTAATCAAAACACCATTTAAGCACATAATCTAATTAAACAATTAACACATAGACAAAAACAAATAATATATAGACACATAATCAAATAATCAAGTAATACCTAATTCAATTAAACACATAAGCAATTAGTCAAATAATTAATTAAATAATTAAAAAAATACAATTAAAACAAATAAATAAATACCGAGACTATTCTTTTAAAATTAGGGGTATTACAAACCTAGCATGCAGTTCTTCATTTTCTAGATGGAGGGCCTCAAGTTCTTGCAATATTTCCTATTGCATATTATGGTGGTTCTTTTAGACTTCTCCCCAATTCACTGCACCGTCTCCATAGCTGTTTGCTTAGGTGTCTACAATTGTTAGAAGGTGCAAAAATTTATATGTATAAGAACGGAACTAACTTACACCAATTACATTTAAGAAAAGAGTAAAAGACTATTGTTATTTCTTAGGTTAGGCCTTTTGAATACAAGAATATCAAGATGGTGTGACCAAACTTAAGATTGCCTAGACTGCCTACAAATCCTAGCTACATGGAGCGTGTGGGAATCTAGTTGAATGTAGTTCCAATGAAGGTTTCTCTCAATATAAGAATTGATATTTCTGTATATTTTTTACTTTGTTTTTCTTTTGTATTTTGTATATTTTCTCTGTCCCTACTCCTAGTAATTTTCCTGCATTTATGCTAGAGCTCTCCTTTGATTTTGGCTAATGCTAGAGTTGACATATTCCACCTACTGCCTTTACCCATGCCACAGCCACAACCATCTCTTTCCTCTTTGTGCAGCTCTCTTTCTTTATCTCCATTGTTGATTGCCGCCACTTTCACCACCACGAGAGTCTCAAGTGGGTCTTCATCAAAGGCAAATACAGTGTAGATTTACAACTCTCTTGGGTTTGATCTTTTGTTTCGATTGAAGTCTCTTCGTAGGTGGTGATTTTGAAAATTCGTTGATTGCAATCCAACATTTTAACTCTATGTTGGAGGACTATTATACCACGAAGACAAGACGTTTGTATTGTACTTGTAATAGGGGCCAAATCATGCGGGTGTCCCTCACGTTGGCATCATGTGCGTGGGTGTTCCTTTCGCGGATGCTTTAGCGCAGGCATCCTTCTTGCGACTTGCCTTTGTGCGGGCATCTTTTTCAACATTTCTTTTAACATTCATAATTGGGCACACGGGTATTTCTATGCGCACCACAACAGGGTGCTCGGGCATGGCAATGTGTGCAACAAAATAACACACATGGAGTATGGGGGATGTACACGTAAGAGTATTGGGCCAACTCTTGCGGGACTTGTCCACGGCTTTGTCTTAATATATTATCTTAAACTTCCATGGAGAAATGGAAAGGTATCCATAGTGAAGGGTAATATATTTTTGGTATAACCCGAGCTGTAAAAAGCCAAATAATGTAAAAAAAAAAGGTCTTTTTGCGGTAAACGTCCATGGTGCGGGAAACATTTGTATTTAACTTTGACAAAATAAATATTTACTTTGTTTGCCAATGTTATTACTAGAAGTAAATTAACGTTATGGTTTCACCCGAGCAATTGGCGATCACAACAAAACCCGTATGGAAAACTAAGATTAGTTCTCAATGTTGGTGTTCAAGGATGTGAATTGCGGCACATTCTGAATAAACATCGTAAGGACTATTTTAAAATCCAAGCGTGGTGTAGGAAGGGTGACGTCATTGGCGCACAATGATGGCATCCAAACGACTATGATGAGTGTCATGAACACATTTTGTCATAGTCCGGTATGGGAAAATGGGTAAAATGTGAAATGAAAGGGTTAAATAAGAGGCTCGTCAGAGTGGGATGGAGGTGGAAATGGGTAACTCTCGCAACGCAAAAACCCACGGGACCGGGACATCCATGCTCCGACACAGAAAAGGATATGGGTATGACACACGACCTAGTTAATAAGCGCGATGACTCTCTCGTGACTAGCACGTGCCCTACCTCTATAGAGCACTGTGTCCTGACATGAGGGATCATCAAGGCCCAATCAGATCATTCCTTTTCTGGCTTCTCATTCTCTCCCTTCCTGTCCTTTCACTATTTATATTTTGATCAACAATGAGAATAAGTCAATCTTTTGGGTTTGAACTAAGTCATTTTTCTTTAATCCCTTTACAGTACTCATTCCATTCGATTCATTTATTTGTCGGCACATTCGATCTTTATGCATCTATTTATTTGTAACTTCCATTTTTAATAGTCCTCCCTCTATACACGCGCGAAATCAAGCGGTTATTTCTCTAAATTGCTTAGGGTTTGTTTGGTTAGCATGAAGTAAATAAAAGAAACATAAAATATTTAAATTTGTTACGAGTTTGATTAGTGTGAAGGAGAGAATTTTCAAGAAAGTAATTTTCTTGCAACTGCTTAATTTTTCTCAAAATTTTTCTAACATATAACACAGGGAAATTTTACTTTCCCATGAAAGTGGTGGCTTCATATCTTAGTTTCCTATGCCCACGTCACCTTCACTTTCTCCACAAACTTATCTAACAAGTTAGTTTCTTTCTGTTGTAAATTGCTTATAAGATAATGTAATACTAATTTAATTGTATATAATTTTATATGTGCATACAAAATTAAATTTTTGTTGTATTTTTTTCCTTCCATAATTAATAATGATTGAGAATGATATATATATATAAATCTTAGTATTTAGTAACAGTGTTGGGTGAAAGATTAGGTTAGTGTCTCTGCATAAACAAGTTTTGAAATTATAATTTAATTTGTACATGTATTTTTTTATACATAGACTTCTCGTGAATTTAGGACTCAACTACACAAGGTATACTACATGTACCAAACTCGTTTAGTTTTAACTGTACGTATATTAGATGTACCAAACTAATTTAGTTCCAAGTACTTTATTTCAATTAGACTGAAGGTTTTTTTTTTTTTTTTTTAATGACTAAAAGTATATATATTAACTTCAACCTTTTATCCTCAAGTTCTTTTGGATCAATTTTTTTTTTATTAATTAAACTTGTACCTATAATCACATATATCTAAGTATTAAACATAATTCTGAAAATATAATACGGTCTCAAGAGAGTACAAAGTAATCTTATAATAAAAAAAGATAGTTTTGGGAATTACAATTACTTTTTTTCACTTTCATTCTTTACAAACTCACAAAACAATATTTTCTCATAATTTTCTTGAAAAATATTTTTGATAACTAAATACATGATGGAAACTTGATTACTTGATTTTCTTTTCCTTTTCTTTACCTCCCTTTAAGAGGTAAGAGGCTGATATTGCTAGGTCAAGCTACTTTCTTTCACTTTCCATAAATTTTTTTTATGTAACCAAATGGACCCTAAAATTTTTCTTGTCTACTTTTTTTCACTTTCCATAAAAATTTATATTTAACCAAACGTACCCTTAGACTTGTATTATTATTTTTAATTTATTTCAGATTTAATTTTTTATTTTTAAAATTTTCATATGTTATGTTATGAATTTTCATAAATTCATCCTTTACAAAAAAGTAAAAAAGTAATAATAATAAGAAAAAGAAAGAAGAAATTCGAAATTCACAAGCAATATCACGAGCCCATTCTACTAGTTGTAACAAAAATAATGAACAATACGTGGGTAACGAAGCAAGCAGCTGTCACACACTCACCAGTCACCACCATATGCACGTTAGAGAAACGCAGCAACATCGTCTTCTTAACCTTAACAGGCGACGACGAGCATTGGTTAAATCCGACCCTCATTGCTTGTCTGAGTTCCATTATACGGTAATTAAACCTTGTACCATAAAAAAAAAGAAAAAAAAGAAAAGAAAAAAGAAGAAGATATATTTAATTATAATGACATAACAGCTACATAATTTTATTTATTTATCTTTTTTTTTGTTTAAAGAAAGACACGATGAAAATTTTGACCCAAACAAGTTCTGTTAGAAAAGAGGAGATTGACATTTCATATTTAATTTATTTTTATTGAGATACTCATCCCATAATAAGTGTGAGCCGGAGTTCCAATACATGACACCTGTTGTATATCAAAATTCATAAAAAATCACCTTAACTTCCCAAAAAAAAAAAAAATTATAAAAAATCAATTTTGCCCTTATATGTATTAAGAAAAAAAGTCTGCTTCTCTCTCAACATTTGGGGAAGAGCACTTACATCGCCAGCACTACCACCTACCACCGCAACTTCCACCCTCTCTCGACTGCAACGTCTACCACCTCCCTCCGCTTCTTCTACAATCTCGAAGTAAGCAGCGGGTCACACACTAACCACCATGTGCACGTTAGAGAAACGCGGCAACATCTTCTTCCTAACCCTAACCGGCGACGACGACCACCGGTTAAATCCCACCCTCATCGCCTCTCTCCGGTCAGCTCTCTCCGAAGCCAAGTCTCAGTCGACTCGCGGATCCGTCTTAATCACCACAGGCCAAGGCAAGTTCTTCTCCAACGGCTTCGACCTCAAGTGGGCCCAAGCCGAAGCCACTGACGGATCGCCCTCAGGCTTCATCCAGCGCCTCCGCCACATGGTCGAGCTCTTCAGGCCAGTCGTCGCGGATCTGCTGTCGCTTCCGATGCCGACGATCGCCGCCGTGACCGGCCACGCCGCCGCGGCGGGGTTCCTGCTGGCGATGAGCCACGATTACTTCCTGATGACGAGCGATCGAGGCGTGCTGTACATGAGCGAGATCGACATAGGGATGACTTTCCCGGACTACTTCATGGCGCTGATGAGGTCGAAGGTGGCTTCTGCAGCGGCTAGGCGGGACGTGTTGTTGAGAGCCACCAAGGTGAAGGCGGTGGCGGCGGTGGGGATGGGGATTGTGGACTCGGCGCACGATAGCGGGGAGAAGGCGGTGGAGGCTGCGGTGCGCCTTGGGGGTGAGTTGTCCAAGAGGAAGTGGGATGGTCAGGTGTATGCCGAGATACGGAAGGCGTTGTACCCGGAGATATGTGGCGTGCTGGGATTGGCCCACAAGGAGGTAGTATTATCTCGGCTTTGAGGAATCACTTTTCCGGTTTCTCCGACCGACTAATGTCGTACTGTCGGACTACCCAATAATTCGTATTTCATGAAATAAATGAAATGAAATAATTATAAGTTGTTCTGGTTGAAGAACACTCTTTTAAGTGTTTACGTATTTTTTACCGTGAGAGAAAGAGATGGTGTATAATATATTTTATGGAAGACTATTCGCTAGGCGAATTTGTCCCAAAAAGGATAGTGTCATTTGTGCCACAAAGATAGTGTCAGATGCTAAGTGTGTCACATAATTCTTTTATACGGCTACCGCATTCTGCGTCGCTTAGGCTCTTGCGTCTCGTGCACTTTGCTGTGGTTCTTTCTTACTTGACTTAAATTTTTGCCGTTACTCTTGGGCTTTGTTTCCACACTCATTATGTGAATTGGGGGAGGGAAACAAAAAAATAAAAAATAAAAAATCTAGCATAATAATAAATTTATATTTTATACAAGATTTGAGCTCAAAAGTAAGCTAAACGGGTCGAAATTGATGAGTTTTGAGATGACATATAACATATTTATAGATTTTAGGGGGCCACAATTTATGATCATTTACAAAATAACATATCTATGGGGGCACAGAGGGAATTTAACAAAGAGCATAATAATGAATTTATATTTTTTCTACAAGATTTGAACTTTCAAAAGTCGGCTAAAATGGTTAAAATTGATGAGTTTTGAGATGGCATAGGTCATATTCATAGATTTTAGGGGCCACAATTTATATTCATTTGCAAGGTAACATATTTTTTGGGGGGCACAGAGAATTTTGAAAAAAATTTGGGTGCGCCGCGGACCTCTAGCCCCTCTAGAATGGTTAAGTTAGGGACGACCAAGCTACTAATCTCGTGTTTTATTTCATTTATTTTTTCCTTAAGAAAACTGTCTTACTTTATCATTTTATATACTACGTAATATTTATTTGATAAAATTGGTAGTTTCTCATACCCTCCCACAAAAGTATTATATCTCCACAATAATAAGGCTTTTTAAGATAATATGAAAGGTGTATGGGTCAAAGAGGTATTTATAAGCGTCTGGAACAATAAAAATAATTCACTAATTAAGGGATATCAAAGGAAATAATCCAAATATTGAACACTGATTGGGCCAAGTAAAACTTTTGAAGAGCACATGTACACATCAAGAAATTAAAAAAATTTACCACCAAATATTTGTCAGATTGCACAAGTTTTAGAACCAGCTAATTAGTCACAAGTACCCTATATAATTTGTACTACAGTTACATCAATACTTTCATTAACTTTAGTGGGAGAGTTTTGGACTCGGCTCATCCAAAGAGGAAATAGGCTCAGAATTTTCCGGCGGTGCATTTGGACGCGCCTTTTAACTGCTAATAAGCCGCGAAAACCATTTCTTGATGGCCAGTTCTCCCAGAAAGCAGTAGATACATGCCTCTTTTAGAATTCACTACATATAGCAAAAGTGGTCAGAACTATTTTGGGTTTGAAAATGTACTTTATAAACTAATAGACTTGAAAGTTTAAAATAGTGCTGCCCTTTAGTTGCTTCTGATACATTCAATTATGTGTATTGAGCTTCTATCTTGAGTAAGTTACATATTCTACTCGAGGATGTTGGATTCGCTTTAATTGCACTGAAGAATAAAGGGCTAGCCTAGTGCACGAGGCTCCTGCCGTTGCAGGGTCAGGGAGGATCAAATGTAAACAGTCTTACCTCCTGCCGTTGTAGGGTCGGGGAGTGTCATAATGGAGCAATGCCGACCATCATAACATAATATAGTGCAATGCTGACAATCATCTCCCACTGGGCAATTAGCCCAGCTGGTATAACATCCTCCTTTCTCAAAGGGTATGTGAGGGGTTCGAGCCCAATAGTGTGGGCATTTGTGGGTGTGGGTGTGTGTGTGAGTATTTAGCTAGTCAAAAAAAAAAAAAAAATTGCTCACCATCATCTTTTAGGAATTTATGTAGCACATCGCTTGAGCTTGAAGGAAGTATGAGTCCTTATATTTTCTGCCGCTTCCAATGTCAATCCCACTACGGATCCAGTCCTCCCGATGTATCCAAGCATCACGACCGAAATCAAGAATACCCAGAATCTGCATGTAAAAATGATTCGACTACATTATAAAATTGTTAAAAGTTTGAAAAAAAAAAAAAGGAAAAAAAAGAGAGAGAGTACTGGCATCAAATTAATGCAGATACAGATCATTAATATGCATCAATAACACTTGAGAAGTGAAACTGGGGCTTCGCGCATGGGGGGCACTCAATGGTTGTTGATGTATAACTAGTCAGTCACCTTACTCAGTTTATCTAAAATTTAATCAATGATTTCCATTGCTTAACCTACCGGTAACTGTTTCTTTATGTGTCAAATGTCACTGACTAAAAGCAGAAACCCAAGGCTTAGTATTGCCTGTTAACTTGAGAAGTAATCTTCATCCCCGAAGGGAGATGTGTATTGGTTAAAACCCAAGGTATGCATGAGGCAAGAATCCAAGAATGGTGTGATGGGCTAACCAAACCCCCCATAATCCCCAAATCTAAATTGACGCCTTACCCCACCTCACCCATCAGAGTGCAATGTGATTGGAAAAAAGTTCTATGTTAGTCAGGACAGGTAGAGATAGGGGCACATCATTCCCAACCTGCCCAGTTGCAATCCATATTTAAGAAAGGTTCATGTGTCTGTGTCTGTGTCTGTGTGTGCACATGTATGTTTTCGGGGGGTGGGTTGTCAGCCAATGGCTCTAAAAGTGGGAAAATAGTACACGCAACACCGATGGAGTGAGTATTAAAAAAAAAAGATACCCATTTTCCATAAATATAGCAACTCATTCTGGCTAGTGAATTTCTACAGGGTAACCAGGGCAGGTAGAGATAGGGGCACATCATTCCCAATCTGCCCAGTTGCAATCCATATTTAAACAGGTTCATGTGTCTGTGTGTGCACATGTATGTTATGGGGGGGGGGGGGGGGGGGGGGGGGGGTGTGGGTTAGCCAATGGCTCTAATAGTGGGAAAATAGTACACACAACACCGATGGAATGAGTATTAAAGAAAAAGACACCCATTTTCCATAAATATAGCAACTCATTCTGGCTAGTGAATTTCTACAGGGTAACCAGGGCCATTCAGAAACTATATGTAGGAAAATGGACAGAGATTCAAAATTCCAAATCTCTCATACAATTGTATGAGATAGACAGTTGTCATGACAATCAGGGGCATGGAAAATCATTTTGACCAAGGATGAGAGTCATAATATTTTACTAATTTCAAAATCAAAGCTGAAGGTCATTTTGGGGACATGAAAGAAGAATCGACAGTTATTCTCCATGTATTTAAAAATATTTTTCCCAACACAACCTGAGTGAAAGTAGATTTTAGAAGTCCATGATTTTATTATTTGAGGCCTATGAGCAGTTTTCCCCCTGGGTCTTTTTCAACCATGGACCAAGGATGACAAAAAATGCATGATTGTTTATATTATGGTTGAAGCTAAAAAAAATATAAATTAATCCCTAAGAGAAAAAAATTCATGTTACCCCATGGTCATCATTCTAAACCTCCTTTCCATAAAGAACCCATTTTAATAGGTTAATAAGCTAAATCTCCATAAAATTTTAATTGATTAATTGAGTCAATATAAAAAAACTAAGAGGGAAAAAAAGTAAAGTTATCTTAAAGTGGGGAAAAAAAGTATAGTTATCTTAAAATGACCATGCACTTGAACAAGCCTGAACTCGCACTAAAAAAGTTTGCCATTTTAAGTTGGATCATTCAGTCGTACAGATCTAAAATCATTTGAAGAAAAAGTAAGAGGCCACAAACATTAGGGCAAAATGAAAAACATCCCTTTAAACTATCAACTTTTGATAATAAACACTAATTTGTAACTCTTGAGTTTTTTAAGGGTTAGACCTGTGCAGACAAAAATAAAGTGATTCACGCTTGTCATGGTGAAGAAATTACAATAGAAGATGGGAGAGGTTTACGGTAATATAAAAAAGGACAAAGCCAGTTTGCATATAGTGCCACCATTCCCACTAATTGAAAACTTGCCCTTTGTGCTGATACAATGCAAAAAATACTCCCTTGGCAACGACTCCTAGCGTCTCCACTGTCTCCACTTTTTCAAACATTAAAATACAGAAAAAAGAGAGGAGAGTAGTGTATGATCATACTCCGCCCTGCTCCCTCTGCAACTATCCCTCCCAGTGTCTCTCTCAATTCCAATGAATAAAAAATGAAGAAACTAATAAGAAAAACAATGATATTAGAACAATTGGGTCAAATCATTAATGTTTTCCCTAAAATTGAACAAATTTCCATCCTAATTAAATTTCTAACAGTTCTCTACGATATTGTTCAATTCCTATGGTTCCATATTATCACTCAAAGGACACGTGAAGTAGTCATGTTGTAATAGAGTTAACTCGATTTTTACAAACCCATCATAGAAAAAACTCATAGTGTAGTCAATCTGCAGATAGCATATTTCACGGAATTGCATCATAATAGGGGAATAACGAAAATATAACACGAGTCAGTGCATGACTTACGGCTCCGCCTTTCCATGAAACAAACGTTGGATTTGTTCTCGACTGCAAAACCTATGCAACACATCAAGTTGATAAACTCAGCATTTGACTAAAAGAAGTGATGAAAGCGGGCATAAAATAATTTACAAGGAACAAATGGAATTAGAGTAGGCACAAAAGCCATGGCACATTCAGCTCATGCAACCACTATACTAAATTGACATAATGGTGCACATTAATGCGATTAGAGGCATTTGGATAAAAAGAATTGGAATCCACCAATGTGAATGATCCTTGTCATGAACCAAAGAACTACTGCCAGCACACTTATGGAAAGAATGAGAGTTCTTGATGACCGAAACACTCATATATAATACCCGGATTCTCGGGTAGGGGTGCATGTCTAGGTGTCAGATTCTTCTACTTTTCAAAATATAAGATACGGGAACTCAGCAGAAAAGCAGTCCAAAAATAGGGTATGGGTACTTGGACATTGTGCACAAAATATTGGTAGATTTATTTGATAATTGCTATTTATGTATTGATTTGTTAATTTTGATAAAATTAGCAACCAGGATATTGTGTAGTCAAAACCAAAAGAAACTGATAATTGCTTGTCACTATTTAATTTATTTAAAATCATCTATTATTTTCTTTTGTTACAGAGAGAGAGACAGACAGAGAGAGAGAGACGGAGAGAGATGTTCACTTTTATTTTTAATGCACATGGAGCAACAAAAGCCCTTAAAGGAATTGATAAAAACATGTGTCCAAAATTGAAGAAGATAGGCAATTTAGACTCCTGAAAATGGATGACAAATTCTGCCAAGAAATCCCATAATCGTATTGCTATTTGACATGTGAAAATCACTTCTCAACCAAATATGAACAATTGCTCAACAACAGTGCATGAAGAAGATGTTCATCTTCAAGCTGCACCAGAAATGCCAATTTTTTTTTTTTTGATAAATAATAATCGATTAAGAAGCGTTCAAATGGGGAACACATCCCATAAACCAGAAATGCCATTTTTTTATCCAGAGATCATTGCATCAAGGATGAACAGCAGCGGATCTAACAGGGAAACTTTGGCAAAATTCCTGCTCCTTAACAAGCATCCACCCACACAATCTTCCATTTGTCATCCGTATCTGATAGAAGCAAAAGTGTGTCTGATGCATATCTTGTGTTTGTGTCCATATCTGTGTAGTGACGTGTCGGCATAGACAACGTCAGCTACAACAGAGAGTCTGGGTAACACAGATGCTAATTGCCTACTGCTGCTAAAGATTGTATTGAGAAATTGAGTTTTGAGTAACTCAGCAGATAAAATTAATTGGAAGCATGGGTGCTTTTATTTTAAGTCGGCATGGAAAGTGTCCAGATTCAAAGGGCAGAAAGTGAGATGGACTTCTCTCTGTTGGAAGTATTGCAGGCCTAGAGTTGCTGTGATTGTAGCTGTCATCCTGCACGATAAAAAAACTGCCATTTTTTTAACTTAAGAAGGAGAGGCCATTGCATCAAGGATGAACAGCAGCGGACCTAACAGGGAAAGTTTGGCAAATTCCTGATCCTTAACAAGCATCCACCCACACAATCTTCCATTTGCCATCTGTTTCTTATAGAAGCAAAAGTGTGTCGGATGCATATCTTGTATTTGTGTCCATATCTGTGTAGTGACGTGTCGGCATAGACAACGTCAGCTACACCAGAGAGTCAGGGTAACACAGACGCTAATTGCCTACTGCTGCTAAAGATTGTATTGAGAAATTGAGTTTGAGTTGTAAATAGTGACAATAATTATGCCTTACAATTAGGGATTATATTAGCTAGCATTGACTTACCCTAAATAAAGTTGCTGTAATTATGGGATTAGATTAGTTGACTTACCTTTTAGATAGCTGCTGTAATTACTACTCCTTGATTGTAGCCACTTTGTTTGGCAAATCTTGTATTATAAATTGTAATGAGAACCAAAGGGAACGTATCACTTCCACATCCAAAAAATCTGTTGTGGCTCTATTTTATCATCTTTACATGGTATCAGAGCAAGGTTAGTCAAAGAATTGTATTTTTCATTCTTTGATTACACTTTGGTTTAGAAATCTGTTCTGTTTTCTATTTGATCTGGTTCAACTCTTCATTCTTTGTTGCACTTTGGTTTAGATATTTGTTCAAATCTATGTCCAGATCTGTTTTACAACTCTTCATTCTTTGATTACACTCTGGTTCCAATAGTTGTTCAATTCTGTGTCCGAATCTGGTTGACATCATCATCAACCTCTCAGTAAACTCCGTTATCTTTGCCGATTGGTCTCCTTGCTTTATTTTGACTAACAACTCTGTTGAAATCTATTCAAATTCCTGTGTCTCTTTGCATCTCTGATTAACTGCTGCTATGGATAAAAGTGACACCATTCCTGTTCGCCTTAGTGGAGGTGTCAACTATGTGGGGTGTGTCTTTCCATCTCAAGCACTTTGTCCAAGGACAAGATTGGCTGCATTTTTTGATGGAACAGCGGCTGAACCCACTGATGACAAACCTAGAGTCACATGGATCCAAAACAATTCAAAGGTGGTTAGTTGGATCTTGAATTCCGTTGATCCTTCAATCACCTTGTCCCTTCAGTCATTTAGTAAAGCCTCAGAGATGTGGAAACATCTGAAGAAAGTCTATCACCAGACTAACAAATCAAGAAAGTACTACATTGACATGGAATTGGCTAAATGCATTCAAGACGATAAGACTGTACAAGAATACTACAATGGCTTCCTTTCACTCTGGCATGAGAAGGATTCTATGGTCCTGGATGGTGCTGACGCTGCTGCACATTCACAAGTTCTGAAATTACAAGGGGAGTCCCATGTTAAACAGTTCTTGATGACACTACGCCTAGAATTTGAGTCTGTTCGGGCTGCTTTGATAAATAGAGAAACTGCTCCAGATTTAGATACATGTTTCCAAGAGGTTTTGAGAAAGGAACTTCGCCTTCAGTCGCAGCATGTCATCATAGAAGACTCAAAATTAAAAACACAGAGAATAGTTTGGGAATAATTTTCTCATATATTGATCCTTTTGAGACTTACACGGATTCCTACTTATAGGAATTACAAGAAATCTAAACTAGGAAAAGAATAACTTATTAAGGAAAAGAATAAGTAATTAGTTTACCTAACAAAGATACATTCCTAATTTATAATCACTGCCTAATTTACAGCTATTCAATCTTGGTAATTACTGCCAAATATCTTTCTGATTTTCCAACACTCCCCCTCGATTTTCCAACACTCCCCCTCAAGCTGGCTTGAAGATATCTTCCATAGTCAACTTGCCCATTAAAGTGTCAAATTGCTTCTTGTGCAGCCCCTTAGTAAATACATCAGCAATCTGTTCGGCAGTTGGGATGTATGGCATACAAATCAGCCCACTGTCAAGTTTTTCCTTGATAAAGTGTTTATCCACTTCTACATGCTTTATTCTGTCATGGAGGGTTATCAACATGGAGGATTGGGCATTAGGAGGTTGGATGTGTTCAAAAAGCGCTTGTTAGGCAAGTGGTTGTGGAGGTATGGGGTGCAGGGGTAGGTTATGGTAGAGGGTTATCTTGTTCAAATTTGGGAATTCTAGATGTAGCTGGTTCTCTTTGGAAGGCCGAACTGGCGTAGGTGATTGGAAATTCATCCAGAGAGCTTGGCATGACTTTTCCAAGCATCTTCGCTTCAGGTTGAGGAGTGGGATGCAGATCCGATTTTGGAAGCATATTTGGTGTGGTGATAGATCATTTGCATGCACCTTTCCAAGATTCTCCAGGATAATGGTTGGCCCCACTCCCAGATTCTAGTGGCAGACTGTTATCGGCTTGATAGCGGGAGGTTGGCTTAGGACGTGAGATTCATCAGACATTTCCAAGATTGGGAGGTGGGTGACGTGGATGATCTGAAGGCTCAGCTTTATCATCCGGCTGTAATCAGAGGAGATGGATGCGTAGATCTGGTTTGGCTCCAGGCATGGGAAATCTGAGGTGCATACCTTCTTGCAGAGGATGCTATCCCCTCACAGGGAGCCCTTCCCTTGGAAGGCCATTTGGCGTACCAATGCTCCCCCGAGGGTGGCATTTTTTTGGGTGGATGAAAGCGTTGGGTAAGATTCTGAGAACTGATAACCTAAGGTGGAGGCGGCAAATCATTGTCAACCAGTGTCGAATGTGCAAGAGAGATGAGGAGATGGTGGATCATCTTTTGTACAGTTTGGATGTTAAGGATGGGTGGAACTTGCTTCTCTCCATTTTTGGTTTTCCTTGGGTTACGCCAAGATTGGTTAGCAGTGCTATTGAAGCGAGGCCTCCCAGTTGAGTCTCATGTTCAAGAGGCTTGAAGGGTAGCTTCATTGTGCAGTCTTTGGAGGGAGAGAAATAGGATATGCTTCGACGGTGTAGATGCTCCTATTTTGGCGCTGAAATTCCTTAGTTCTTTGTCTTTTTGGGTGTACAGGAAAAATTGTATATCTATGGGAGATATAGTTATTTTGGAAAGTTTAAGGGTATAGCTTCCCTTTTGGCTTTTGTGCAGTTGTGTATGTGGATGTGCTTCCCTCTTGAGTAATGAAATTTACTTATCAAAAAAGAAATGATTTAAACTTTACTGAAAACAAAGAGGAGCTGCAATTGTTTTCTTATTATTTAAGCAGTCCTTGAAAGCTAAATTTTTATATTTTTCTTTCTACTGAGAAATTTGTGATTTCATTTTTCAGAACAACAGAATAAACATAATCTAACATTTGTTGCACTTATCACAATTTGCAAGTGTACAGTACATACCGTATAATGCATCATATACAAAACTTATGCACTGAAATTAAAATATGTTGCAGTAGTGACATTAAAAATGTACGATACCCTTGTGAAGAGATGGTGATGCCATCACCACAGAGCAAAAAAAGAAGTATAGTTGCAGAGACTTCCACAGGATTTTCAACAATGTCCAACAAATAAATATGATGATGTGTACAACACCTAGAGGTATTGGTGACACTATGTCTACTGTTACTAGAGTAAACAACAGTTCCTTGCCATCAATGTAAAATACACAGTAACTGACGCAGATATCAACCTCTTACCTAAGCCAATTGAAGAAAAGCATAGAGAAGGCAGACTAACCTCAACAGTATCAATTGCTTCATGTGAAGGAATGGCATGTAAAACTCTGCAACCAAACAAACAAAGATTGATACAACTTGCGCAAAAGATTAAGAGGGCATTTTAAGTTGAATTGGTACATATACATGCAGAATTTCAAATGAATCAAATGTATTGTCCATAGCAATTATATGAGCGTTGTTCTGTCAAGACTAGCTTTAGATATTGCCATTCTAGGATTTCAATAAATGACTTTGCATGTAATATACTTTGAATGGCCAATGTGATGTTGTAATGTACACTGGACTAATTCAATCCTCATGAATTTTTCACAAACCCCAATATATATATATGACAGCATTTCTATTAGCTGTAGCATTAATGAAGTAACATTTATGTCATTCAACACATTTAAGATAACAGGTCAATGAGAAAGCAGGATAGTGAAACTGTAGCTCAAGATGCAAGAGCCTTCAGCAGCAGGACTCCCCTCACCGGTACAAGTAATATATCTAATAATGCATGAAACCATCTCCCATCTATGAGAGGCTTCAAATTCATGACGAAGCAATCTAGTTGTTTCTCAGCTTCTCTAATTTGCAAGTTAATGGAACAGAGTTAAGAACATGACTTGTGTTGCAGAGTGTGCGCTAAGGAACTCAGGCCCCAACTCTTGTACGTATGAATATAGAAGGTGGCCAAGGAATGGGCTAGGACAGGTTCTCTTGTTTGCAGCCAAAAGTTGGAGGATGATAGCAGCTAAAGGTCAGTCAATTCTGGCCACTTCAGAAGTTCAAGCTAAATTACATTATCTGTACTATTTTCAAGCTGAAGGAATGAGGGTGGACAGACTTCTTATTCCACATCCTCCCAGCAGCTTTTCCAATTGGTATTGATGATGGTATCAATAACGGAGATACTTGTTTTCTTGTCTTGGATTTATAGTTTTGTTGGTTCTTTTCAGTTTTGTGCCATAAGATACACTAGCAAAGAGGCCATGAGAGAGGCCTATGGCGATTCTCTCCTAGAAGAAAGGGCCAGTGTAAATTTCTGGACTACATAAAGTACTCTTCCCAGGGGGCAGAAAACGGAGAGAAGAAAATCTGCAAACATAAATGTAAGTACAGCATATAAGGATTGAAAGGAATTATGATTAAACCTATGGAGAGTAACTGGATGGAAAGTTGAGACACGTAGGTAAGCATTGCCCATGCTTTTTTCTTCCTACATTAGATTTCAGCAATAAGATTTGAGTTTCTATGAAGAAAAGGTAAATGAGAAATAATTTAGAAAGAAGAGGTTCCTTGGAAGAAGGGAACACATAGAGAGGCTCTAAACTCATGTGCTCCTCAAAAGACATCCTTATCTTAATTTGTTAGGGTTTGATTTAAAATAAGCATGTAATGGAGTCTCTTTCCTTCCCTTTCCTTGCTGTTTAACGAAACAGAAAAAGGGAAATATCATTGCTTTCTTTTCCTCTACCTTTTGCATCCATCCTACATTAGACTTCGTCTCAAATTTCTATCCCTCCTACCAAACAAACCATAGGACGTGGACATGGCAAGGATGGCTATATATGATGTGTTGACACGGATATGCCGACACATCAAATCCTAAAAAACAATAGGACATGGACATGGCAAGGATGGCTATATATAAATATAAATTGTTATATATATGCATCTATTGAATAAGATAATTGTAAAACATGAATTAATTTTTAATTTCTATACCATGGTTACATATATTAGAAGATGAAACTATTTAAACATTATTATTATTATTTTTTTCTTGATAAGTAAAAATTTTATAAAAAAACGCTCAGAAGGGGAGCGAAACTCATGCAAAATACAAAAGACCACAAAGGCCTCAAGCCTTCAAAGAGGCTAAAAAATCAACTACTTCCTCCAAAGAACAATGATCTCTTCCTGAAACCCAACAAAAAAGAGTAGAAATAATCGAGAATTTAAGCACCGAAATCGACAAAGCCTTTCCTTCAAAGAATCTCCTATTCCTTTCAAGCCATAAACACCACCACACACAAAGCGGCGTAGCCCTCCACTCATCCTGACTGAGAGCCCCCACAGGGCAACCTCTCCACGCCTCAATCAACCCTCTAGCAGATCCAGGCATAACCCAAGAAACACCAAATAAGCCAAGCATCAAAACCCAACACTCTCTAGCCAAAGGGCAATGAATAAGAAGGTGATTCACAGACTCCTCATCACTAAGACACATAGAGCAACGGTTGACCACCACCTGACTTCTCCTTCTCAGATTATCCTGGGTTAAAATCGTACCCAGGACCGAAGTCTACACAAAGAAAGCCACCTTAAGAGGAGCCTTGGATCGCCAAACAGACTTCCAAGGGAAACGAACTCCAGGAACAAAAGAGAGGCACTTGAAGAAAGACCTCACCTCAAAGCGCCCCTGAGAGTTTGCAATCCAAGACCAACAGTCTGAATCCTCCTCCACAATCCTCTGGCGATATAACAACTCCAAGAAACGAATGACCTCCTCGATCTCCCAATCCTGAAAGGAACGCCTGAATCGAACATCCCAAACCAGTCTTCCATTATCAAGATGATAACAGTTAACCACCATGGCCTGCTTATCCATAGCAATCCTGTAAAGCTGAGGAAAGGCGAGGGCAAGAGGCAAATCTCCACACCACACATCCTCCCAGAAGCGAATCCTCCTCCTATCTCTGAGACAAAACCGAATGTGCTTGGAAAAATCATCCCAACCCTTCCGAATAAATTTCCAAACCCCCACCCCCCGAGGATCTCTAACTTCCAAAGAACTCCACCCTCCTCTCATTTCCCCAAAACGACATGCCGCAACCCTCCTCCAAAGCCGATGTCTCTCCACCCCGAACCTCCACAACCATTTCCCAAGGAGGGCCTTATTAAAGGGCACCAATTTACGGAGACCTAACCCACCATTGCGAATTGGCTTGCAAACTTGGTCCCACCTCACCAAATGAAACTTAAACTCTTCACCTCCACCTCCCCACAGAAAATTACGCTGCAACCTCTTTATCCTTTCCGCAACTGAAGAGGGAATCTGGAAAAGAGAGATAAAATACGTGGGAAGACAAGAGAGGGTGCTCTTAATCAGCGTGACTCTACCGCCCTTAGAGAGATACTGCTTCTTCCAACCCGCCAACCTTCTCTCAAATCTGTCCACCACTGGATCCCAAATCCCCACACACCTCGAAGGAGCTCCCAGAGGCAATCCTAAGTAAGAAATGGGAAATGAACCAGTACGACAGCCAAGAATATCAGCAAAAGTCTCAATCTCAGGGACCTCCCCAACCGGCACCAAAACACTTTTTCCCACATTCACTTTAAGGCCGGAAACAACTTGGAACCAAATCAAAACACATCTCAAATATCTAATCTGAGAAACGTTCGCATCACAAAGAACTAAAGTGTCATCAGCAAACATCAAATGAGAGATTTCCAACTGAGAATCTGCCTCCCCGCCCACCCGAAAGCCTCTCAAAAGACCCAACTCGGTAGCCCTTCTTATCAATCTACTAAGGGCCTCCATCACAAACAAGAAAAAGAAGGGGGAAAGGGGATCTCCCTGTCTTAAGCCCCTTGAACTAGAGAAAAAACCAATAGGAGCACCATTAACAAGGATCACGAAAGCTCCAACTTACTTGGTCATACGCCTTCTCAATGTCCAACTTACAAAGAACACCCAGGGTTCCACTACGCAATCTGGAGTCCACACACTCACTTGCAATAAGGACTGAATCCAAAATTTGACGACCTCCTACAAAAGCGTTTTGAGAGTCCAAAATGATGCCATCCAACACTTTCCTCAACCTTGAAGCAAGCACCTTGGCAATCAGCTTGTAGATGCAACCCACCAGGCTAATAGGGCGAAAATCTCTAACATCCAAAGCACCACCCTTTTTGGAATGAGAGCAATGAACGTGGCATTCAAGCTTTTCTCAAAAGATTCCCGAGAATGGAAAGCATGGAAAGTGCCCATCACCTCTCCTTTAACCACTTCCCAACATTCAAGAAGAAATCTCATAGTAAAACCATCTGGACCTGGGGCCTTATCCCCATTGCCACTCTTCAAAGCAAACAGAACTTCCTCCTCAAAAAAAGGTAACTCCAAGCCCAAACACTCCTCCTCAGAAATGGAGTCAAACTGCAACCCTTCGAGCAAAGGTCTCCACTCAACAGACTCATTGAACAAATTCTCAAAAAATTTTGAGAATCCTTTGCGAATCTCCTCCTCCTTACAAAAAATGACCCCCTCGACTCGAATCCTCCCTATATGATTGCCTCTTCTATGAGCATTAGCCAATCTGTGGAAAAATTTAGTGTTTCGATCCCCCTCCTTAAGCCACAAAGCTCGAGATTTTTGCCTCCACGAGATCTCCTCCAAGACAGCAATCTCAGTAACTCCGCCTTGCACTCCGCCTCCTAGCCTTCAAAGAATCCACCAAATCCCCTTGACCCTCCATCTGATCAATAGCCGCTATTTCAGCAAGAACCCGATTTTTCCTCCATTCAAGGTTCCCAAAAACCTATTTATTCCAAGTCTTAAGATTTTCCTTTAAAAGACACAGTTTGCCTGCTAGCACATGACTAGGGGTGCCAACCACACCATACCTTTCCCACCAGAGACGGACCCTCTCCAGAAAGCCCTCAGCCTGCAACCACATGTTCTCGAATCTGAAAGGAGAGCGCCTACTACACAAACCGCCACAATCCAACATCAACGGAATATGGTCAGAGATAGGACGAGCCAATGTAGCCTGAACAACATCAGAGAACCTCTCCTCCCACTCCCCGGACACAAGGAATCTGTTAATCCGAGAAAGGGTAGGAGGAGATCGGCCACTGGACCAAGTAAATGGCCCTCCAACCAAAGGCAAATCAATCAATCCAAACTCATCAATAAACTCCGAGAAAGCCTCCATATCAGATGTCCACCTACCTCCCGTTGACCTCTCAAACGGAGAACGAACAGCATTAAAGTCCCCACCAATACACCAAGGCAAACACCAACGACTTCTAATCTCTCCCAACTCCTCCCAAA